ATCAGTGTCCCCACACTTCAAAATGGTGGTGGGGGCGCTTTAACTAAAGCTCGTTTGATGAATTTTAGATAAAGCTCCCCTGCCACCATTTCAAAGCATGCATGGGGATGCTAATACATGAGACATTGCGGGTGCTTTACTTAGTAGCTCTTGGAGCTGCTCAAATTAAAGATCCCCCGCACCCCACCCCATCCCTGGAGCACATAGAAAATATCTCTTCTATTGATCATAGTCCCATGCTATGTTGAGAGAGAACCCATAAATCAACAGTTAAAATGACTAAAGTTATTATTCCATGTTATTTATCATTCTCTTAATCTGTTCTTAACTTTCAAGCATACCTTAACTAGTCTAAATTTTTCTCACGTTATACCAGCTTTCTCATTGTTTTGCATTTTTTTTCTGTGCTTCAGTTCCAACAGCAGCTTAGCTGCCTTTGGGGACACACGCACACGCTTTGAGTATGGAATTCTCTACAGTCCCACGTCATACCTTTCCAATGGTACACAGAACTAATGGTTAAGGGAATTCTCTTAAATTCACTAGTTCTATTAAATTCACTATTTTTTGTTAGAGTGCTTTTATGGCAGTAATCTAGGTCTTAAATATATGTCCAGATATGGACCTTGGGTTTCTGTGACTTTCATTTCCTGCTTAACTTCCTTTTGTGTCTCTTTTTATGCTTCCTGAATTTCTTTTCTTGCTCTAAAATGTTTTAATGAAAATGGAATATAGTGCTCAGTAGTGCTTTAGCTGCAGCCCTATTACATTTTAATTTAAAAATGTAACATCTATAACTCAACCAATACTAACAAAAGAAATCAGAGTAGGATGATAGTCTGGGAAGAAGAGTTCAAAACATTGAAATAAGAAAATTTTTAAAAGCAACACAATAAGGTGTATATGTAAATAGTCCAATCCTACTGTCAGATCAGTTTTGGGGAAATGTGACTGAGATTCTTTCTACATAGACATAAAAGCTGCCTCCCTCCCCCTCACCCATGGGCTGATCAACGTGCACGATTATGGCTTAAATATATTTGTTTTTCCTTCAGTACTGAACTACTGTTAATAACAACGATGGTGTATTGTAAAGGGCCCCCTGAATTTCCCACATGTTAATTGGTACAAGGAGTGTTAGTGTACAAGTTTTTGGAGCACTGTAGACAGGCTTTTATTACCTTGTGCTTTTATTTCTTGACCCTCACTAGCCAGTACTGGACAATTATCTCATTCTAGGACTTTGATTGCTTAGGCAGGACTGGTTGAACCTTTTCAGGTACATAAGGCCTTAGACGAGTGTTGGCATTATTTATTTTTTTTTAAACTACATTATGATAGCATGCATTGAGTACATACAAATGGGTCACTATTGCATTTATGTGTAACTTTTAGTCTCCTTTTCTACATACCCAAGGTGTATAGAATTATTGCCCATTTGTGAAGTAGTTGTTGTATTGCTGTAGCAGTTCATAGGTGTATCTGTGCATATGTTTTTCAATCAGGGCAGTAATAAGTGACCCAGAGCAAAACACAGGTAATGATACTTACCAGAGAGACCTTATGCTTCCAGCACTTGGGACAGCACCATTGCGGTTTAGAAAAAGAACATTACATGAAACAAGGTAAGTTCTCTTAGGCTGTAGTTGTTTCTTATGGTCATGGTTTCTAATTTCAGCCTGTTGTAACTTTAGCAAAAGTTACTTCTTTTAAGCTAAAACTTGGCATGCTTGATCTGAAGGCTACTTTTAGCAAGTGTAGTAAAATCTGATTCCTCCAGTTTTACTGATCCAAAAATTAGAAAAGTGAGTTGTGCTTTTTAGCCATTATATGGATGCCCTTCATTATAGGTAGTACAAGTGCCTTGGAAAACCAGCTTGGGTGTTTCTAGGAGTAGTGTCTTTGTTTCATTTATGTTACCTGTGTTCATGTACCTTCCTCTAGTATCCCCTATGCCAGTCCTCTGCCTCCTGACCACTGCAGGAGCTGCAGCAATTAATGCTGCCACTGCTTATTGCACCATCAAATGTCCAAACCTGTAGGGAGCCCCATGGGCCAAGTGACATGGCTTTGCTTGCTAGATGAGACCCGAGACTGACTCCACATGCTGGATCTGGCCTGCAGACTGACCCTGCACTAGTCATTTGACCTGTGGAGCCAATGTTGGATGCCACTGTTCTAGGGTATGTTTGTGCAGAGTGGTCTAGTTAGCTATGTTAATCTGAAGTCAAGTAAAAGGCTAGATTTACACCCTGTAGACTAGCCAAGGTAGATATACAAGTTTTGTGGGCTCACTTCATCAGATGTTATGAAAGGATGTGCAGCTCAGTTCTGGCACCAGGGAGCTATTTGATCCCAAGTGGTATAGCCACCTTGGTTTGGGCCTGAGGGTGGGTTAAATAGCTCTTCCAAACAAGCTAATTGCAAACAAAGCTAATTAACTGAGGCACAGCATAATGAGCTAAACTATTTCTAGGTTGGGGAGTGGCACCCCAAAAAGACCTAGCTTGAGTATCTGTTTGTCGCTGAATAGAAGGTTAAAGAAACAGTTATGCAGGTAAAAATATTCCTGTTGAGAAGATCTAGGCAGAAGGAAGTGCAGTGCAGGTACTTGAGCTAGTTCTGCACATGCCAGCTTTCGTATAAGAAGCAATATAGCTGTGTTCCTGCCATGCTCTGCCCTGGCAAATTGGCTCTTCTGAAATGTGGCTACACAGCTCTTAATTTAGCAGGTACCAGGAGTAGAGCAGCACAGTGTGTCACTACCCTCGAGTGGCATAGACATGAACTTTAGACCTTTCACTTTGGGGATGCCCCCAAATTCCTAAATACATGCTTGCCAGCACCCAGATAATTTCCATGCTGGTAAGCAACTTGATGAGTAAAAAATCATCTTGTGTGCTGAGATCTGAGGGTCACATAAGCTATTCTCCAGGGACTCTTTAGTCTTTCACATTCCTAAAATCCAGCACTATAAATTAGAGGAGTTTGACTCTAGTATTGAACACAGTTGAGTGTGGAATTAAGTTGCAGGCCTGTTACTACTCAAGGGACTATTTCTCATAGCAATGTTTATCCTCAAGGGAACCAAGGGAAATGAAGAGGAAAACACTTTGAGTTTCATTACTCTTGTCAGCCATTAAATAAAGTAGATCCTGTTAATATTGACACTTCCTATGATTGTGCTTTCCTTGTTGTGGTGGATAATTACATGATCTGATTGTGCAGCTTCTGCATACCAGGTCCTTTTTCTGATATAGGTAACTTTCACAGTTACCTGGATCAGCTCCTAATCCAATTGCTTTTTCTAGAAATGGTTTCAAATAGTCATGGTATTTTGCATTCGTAGAACAGATCTATTGACTAATATGCAACATTCTTTTGACAGAATAAGGACCAGATCAGCATTAACTGAAAATATGCTTTCTAACAAATTACGCTTTGATTGTAGAATTCTCTCAAGGTAATGAGAAATTTTGTAAAATCCTGTATTAATTCTCTGAGTTTGTGAATTTTTTTTTTTAATAATTGGAATAATTGCAACCAGTTGGAATAATTACAGCTTGCTTTTTTCAGAACAATCTGTTTAGAAATAAATAAGTGTGATTTGTTCATATGTATTTAAATTAAGTATAATTTTTCTTGGGGGCTGTTACATTCTGATATAGCTCAGAGCAGCTATGAGGCTGCATGAAACTGAATGGGGATAAACTAAATTGTTCCTTTGACTTTGGAAGGAGAGGTTAAAAACAGCTTCCCTCAGCTGCACTAAGTTCTTACTTGAACATAGCTCATAATTCAGTCCATTAGCTTCTCAGATCATGACCAACATAGTGATCTTTATGTAAGTATTTGGTCAGCTGAGTTGTGAAATGTCCTTTAATATACTGCATATGAGAGTTTGAAAGGCATTTTTGACAAAGAACAGAATACATAACTAAATCCACAAGTTGGTATACAGTAGTTCAGTATTTAACTAAGCTAATCAAAACCAGCAACGTATTGATAAAAGATAATGCAATATAGAGTCTCTGTCACTGAACTGTTACTGAAGATGCATATTTAAAAAAAAGTGGTGTAATCATTTGTATGAGTTTAAATTAGATTCAGCTAAACGCAAAACTATAATGGTACTCTCCCATGATAATTTTAGGAATGGGCGTGATGCCTGTAGAGAGCTGATTGGATTCTTTTTTACATGTGATGGATCTCTTACTGTTTATGAATATCGACAGTTTGGCAAAAACAGGTATGATGAATACATTTATAAAAAGATGTAAATCTCAGATACTCTCCACAATATCTAGGAGCTTTTTCTCTTCATGTTCAGTTTTTTAAAACTTGTTTTGAATTGCGTTACAGAGTAAATGCCTTACCTTTCATTCAGAAGGGAGTTTATAGTCATCAGCGCAGTCAAAAAAAAGGAAAGCTCTATGATCTTAGCGACTTTTATATTGTAAGTATTCTTTCAGTGTAAATGCATCAAATCTGCTGATTTGGAAATGCTGTTTATCTAAGATCTGCATTCAGATATCACAGATATTCTAATCTGGCTTTAAAGGGACAGAGCCAAAACCCACTTCTGTTAAGTTTCAAGAGCTTTGATTCAGAACTTTTGGCATCTGGATCATTTTCTGTATACACCCACCGTCAGCCAAATATTAGAGTTTTCACACGTAGCTTTAAAACTGACTGCACTTTTCTTGCAAAGTGCATGAGGCTGCAGTTGGGAGGGGACTTGAAGGCATAAACAAATTATGCAGAAGGTAGGGCAGGGTGGCACCTTATAGACTAACTTGTTCAGAAATACATAAGCTTTCATGGGCAACAGCTTATTTTGTCAGATGCTATGAACAGACTTGCAGACAGCAGGGATACTAAATAGAAACAAATAAAGTAATTCATTACGAAGAATAGACAAAGGGAGAGGAAGGGAAATGGGAAGGGGGCAATGTTGAGAGAGGCAAAGGTGAGTTGAAGAGATCAAAGATAAGCAAAATAGTTAAGGATATAAGAGTTACAATGAATAAAGTAATTTATTCCAGGCTAGTCCAGGCAATGGGATAAGAATCTGTAATCTCTGTTGAGCTCATCCGGAACACAATCTGGTCTGCTGAAAATGTCTTGTGCCACAGTTTTCACATAGGGATTTCCTGTCTGGCCAGTACAGAGAGCAGAGAGGCAGTGTAGGCAGATGATGGCATATGCAGTATTGGCAGAGGAATGGGTTAATGAATTCTGGATGTTACAATCCATATTGTTTGGTCCAGTTGATGAGGGGCATAGCTAGCATCTGCATATGGAACGAGCCTTGGTGCCTTTGTGAGAATAGGAGTTGGATAGTTTGTTGCTGGAGGGACATCATTTGAGGTTAGTGAGCTGCCTGTAACCCAAGATAGGCTTGTCCTCCAAAGGTATCTTGAGCTAGCAGTCACTTTCCAGGATGGATTGGAGGTCATTAATGATGTGAAGAAGGTTTTCTAGAGGGGGCTATAGGTGACAACATGAAGGATTCTGGTGTCTTTGTCATAGGGTTGGTATTGTAGCTGATTGAAGTGGGGTCTGAGTCCACTCTGTTGATTTGAATGGCTAACATTTGGGGACTATATTGTAAGTGTTCCCTCATCCCTTCCTCTCCCTATCCCTGTTTTTGTATTTAGATTATTTGATTCATTTCTATTTAGTACCTCTGTAAATCCAGTCATAGCATTTCTGAATGGGTTAGTCTATAAGGTGCCATCCTGCCTTGCCTTCTGCCTGACTTCAGATTAACACAGCTAATTACTGCTCTGTAAATTAGTTGAAAAAGTGAGTATCTGTGAAAAGTCCCTAATGATAAAGTAGCACAAATTAGTTGTAAAAAATTAATGACTGTTGAAAAGTCTGCTGGTACTTATAACATTGAAAAATTATTAAGTATTTTAAGAGTAAAGTAATATGCTTGATAAATATTTTAAGTTTGAACAGATTTATCACCAACTTTTTTTTTTCTTTTGAAAGAGATCTTTAAAAGAGATTATGGAATAAAGTGGTGCTTTTTTTGAGAATTTTGAAGACACGTCATTTATAGTTAAAAGTTCTACTTATTCAATCAGTCATTTGAACCTAAGGGCAAAGCACAGTTAAGGATATACAAACAGCTACTTAGAACATTGACAAAAATGGTATTAGCTGGTTCCATGTCTTTCTTAGTAGCCAGTTGTTATCTCTAGTTGTATAATTGTCACCGCAGAATACTCAGTGTAGGAACTGACATTCGAGTTCTTTGTTTTCCCTTCTTATGCATGATTACTACTGTAAATGTTCTGCAGGCCAAACTGTGCTGTAAACTGTATCTGTTTAGTCTTCTTGTTTTAGAATTATACCATCAGGACACCTGTGTAGTCCCACAATCCGTGATTTGCCAGTGTATTTACTTGTAGGTCAAAAATAGTTATAATGATACATGAAAAGAAATTGAATCTAGTTCACTCTCTAAACAGTACTGTGTTCTGTTAGCACTGAAGCAAAGGTGTGATATGATTCTGAGGTGCACACAAGGAACAGATGGGCCGAGCAGTACATTTTCCAATATTAAATACTGTAGTAATTTTCCTGAGAAGACTCCCATTTTAACTCTGCTCCATTGTGTCATTCATTTTCCTTCAAATCTTACATTTGGGTGAATGCTGTCCTTGCATAGTTGGAGAGCAGCATCCGGCTGGTACGTCTGTGGAGGAAAAGGGGGCTGGGGGGGGAAGAGGTGTAGGGGCGTGCATGTTGAGGCCCCCACGGTGAGGGAGGGAGTGGGGTTGGGGCTAGAGCAGGCTCTGCCCTGCCGGGGCGGGGTGGGTCATGGGGTGGAGCCACAGGCAGCTCATCTGGAGGGCACAGGGATGGGAAGGCAGCTCCTCACTGTTGTACACAACCCTGGGGGAGGCATGGGGGCATGTACCCCCCAGATTTGTGCACAGCGCAAGGGTAGGCTGCAGGCTCAGGGCCAGTAGCTACACCAGCCTGTTTCCCATTGCGGGGGGGGAGCTGGGCAAGGACTGCCCTTGGAGTTGGTGGTGGTGCTGGGAGGCTATGGAGAATTTTGGAGTGGCTGTAACCCATCCTGTAGTCCTCTCTCCCAGTGCTGCTGCTGCCCACCCCACCCCACCCCTGCCCATGCCAAGTGTAGCCCTGGCTCAGCCCTCTTGCAGCCTACCTTCACACAAATCTGGGGGGGCACAGGCCCCCCATACCTCCCCCAGGGGTGTGTGCACAGCAGGGAGGTGCCCCCCACCCCCTCTCCACCTCCCTGTGCCCTTCATATGAGCCACCCACTGCTCTGCCCCATGACCCAACCCACCCTGGCTGGGCAGCACCTGCCCCAGTCCCACCCCCACTTCCTCCCTCACCGTGGGTGCCTCTATGTGCCCCTTTCCTTCCTCCCCACAGACTTACTGGCTGGCTCTGCTCTCCATGCTGCCACGCTGCATTCCTGGCCACATGTATGCTGCAGCTGTGCACATGCATACAGCATTTATCAGTGTTGTTATCAGTTATACCGTTGAAAAAAGCCGATTGCAGATAATGTCAATTTTCCTTTTATTGGTACCAATATGATATGGACCAATTATATTGGTGTACCTCTACTTTAGGTACGTTTTTCCAAAGAGTACATTTTCCTCAATTTTGCTTTACTTCTAAAATGGCACCCTAATTGGGAAATCCAGACTTTTGAAAAAGTGGGATTAAAAAAGAAAAGGTTGCCCCCCCAATACCACCCCCCCCAAAAAAAAAAAACCCCAACAAAAAAACAAAACATTGACTAAGGTTTTTCAGAACAGATGTATGGTCCATTTGACCAATTTCAGTTTAAATTTTTGTTCTTGCATAAGCACAGGAATCCTGTCAGTATCTGTGTTATATCACAGTGTCCTGGAAGAAACAGAATTAACCAGTTCAACATTGTACTGATTCTTCTTTGCTAACAGTGATCAAGATTTCAGTTAATTATTATGAGACATTTCCATTCACTTATCTTAATGATTGTAGGACATAGGTGGCATGGGTATTGGTATGGGCAACCTGTGTGTGTTGAACATGGCAGATTGGGGAGAGGACAAACAGTGCAGTGGAAGATAGGCTGGGAAGCAGAAAGCAGAGCAGAAGATCAGGCAGGGAGCACAGGGCAGGAAGCAGAAGGCAGAGCAGCAGATTGGGTAGTGGAAAAGGATTGGAGTGGCACCCAGGGCGGGGCTAATTTGTGTCATGCCTGCCAGAAAGGATGGCCACCACCATTAGAAGATATTACGGTGTGTGCCTAGAGATCCCAGTCAAGACTGTGCTTCCTTTGCAATAATTGCTATAAATTCAGTAAGAGATACCTGTCTACTAATAGGGTTATAGCTGTTGTGGGCTGCAGGATAGCTGATGGGCAGTTCTGTCCAGGCTTTTCTTAAAGTATACCCAGTTCTAAAACTGCTTTCAGTTGCCCTGAAAAAAATGTCAAATTCATAGCACAAATCCACTTCTGTCTCTCCATGCCATGCTATCTTTTCAGAACTACACTTCCTGAGAGGTGTAGAGTCTGGCCCTGAGGATGTCCAAATGATTTGTGAGTTGCATCTCATTAAGTGTATAGCAGACATGCAAGTCATGATAAGAATTCATTTGTTTTTAGATGTGCAGCTGCTAACCTAGAATCCGACGTGCTAATCCCTTAATTTTTAGAGTAACTAAAACTTTTTCTCTTGGTTTTGCATTACAATAATGAACTACAAAATGTGTGCCATGTTTTAACTGTATTCTAAAATAATGTATAATTTTTCCCATTAACATTTTGAATAATTCTAGTTTTTGATGAAGAACTTTTCACTTCTTGAAGGTGAAGAGTTCACTTCAGAGAATAGATGACCTACTTGTGCTATTATCTACAGGGTGCTAACCTGACTTTTTGGAGTCTTGATCACAGCCTTCCAGAAAGTATGAAACAAAACCCAGTGCTTACCCTTCGTGTCACTAATATTGATGAAACATCTGTGAATTTTTTGAAGTAAGCACAGCTTTCCACATTACTTTTCCTTCCTTGAAAATATGATCCTAAATTAAGAATTTGTATACAAGGTTTACATAATGCATACTGCTTACATTGCTAAAAGTGTATGTTTAGGCTGTTGTTAGGAAAAACAAATGCAGTGAATAGTATTGAAGTGCTGTAGTATGGAACTATCAAAATAAATGTTTTGACAGTTTATTGGTCAAAGGATCATTGTTAAAATAAAAGAATTAATTATGTTCCTGAACACCTTCTTCAGTTCATTTTGTTCCTAACAAAACATGAATTTATAGAGACCATACCTGAGTATAAATCTTAACCACCTCTCTGACGTGAGCAGATTTTAGTTAGTTCATTTGAAAGAATATGCATCCTGCTTTCTATGTAGAAGAAAAGATACCCCAGAACTGGAAGAAAAGAAGAAGGAATAAGATATAATAGATGCAATTCCCAGGGGTGGAATTTGAAGTGGGGTGGAGGGGTGCAGTGGTGCAGTTTTACCTCCCCCTTTGATTCCTGCCCCACCCAAACTTTAAAACCAACTGCCTGGAAGGGGCAGTGGCATTTCTATTCAGGCAGTGCTCCAAGAGTCAATTCATTCATGGCTTATTATCTTCTCCCTGAATCCTACTGATCTCTCAGCAGATGTTAACAACTGCCTCTCCTTTTTAATGGTCTTGATGTTCCACTACTCAAACTATCCTTTTTTCTGTAATTTTTCTGTCTTAGCCATTTCTGGCAATATCTCCTCTATTTTACAGCCTTGTTTTTAGCTTGAGCTAGTAACCTTAACTCAGGTGTAGAAATGACTGACAGTGTAGTGGAGGTACTATCAAGACTCTCAGGAAGAATAGATTTTGTTTTATGAATAAGAGATATACATTTAACTATAATGGCTACAGGACTAATGAGACGATTTTTTTTTTTTACTATTTTGACTTGTTTTTGCCTAGCTTGTTTTAGTTTTTTTAACTTTATATATAATCTAGGAAATTGGAGCTCATTCCAATAGTTATATTTTTCTCCTTTGATCTTAAACTGAGTAATATAATTCATGACCCCCTAGCATATTGGTAAAGCCACTAGTTTCTCTTTAACTGGAGAAAAATGTGTGTTGTAGTATATGTGATGTGCCACACCTTCTGTGCTCCCTCTTTTCAAAGTCCTAGGTATACTCATGGTATTTTCTTTAGATGAATTACTATTTCCACCTCTGTTAGAATACTTGAGAATATAATCATGTAATCCCTTGCTAAACCTTGTTATCCTTAGTCCTTTTCTCACTGGTAAAGATGAATAAAGGTTTTGACTATTTTGGCTAAATTTTCCTCTTCAGTAACCTTACCAGCACAGTTGAATGTAGACAAGGACTGCTAAGGATATTATTTCTTTTACCACTAAATCACTGGTTTAGCGGTGAGTCCAATGAGCAGCAAATGACATTTCTGACTAGGAGGGTAATTTAAATCAACTTGTAACTTTTTAATAATGAGAGAGAGAGACCGATAAAATATATTTCACTAGGAATATAAGACCTGGTTGCATCACTGAGGCTAAAAACATTTGAGGCAGTTCTCATTGATCCAGAATCTCAGACAAAAGAGTGGCGCAGCCCCTTTACACACCAAGGGTAAAAACAGATGATGTCCCAGGCTTTGACTCGCATCAAAAAAGGTGCAGCGCAGCCATGTACCCCTGCAGCTTGAATGGTAATTAGCTCAAATTAGCTGCAGTTGTCTCCAGACAGTTGGGTACTTCTGAGGTACTTCAAGTGGCACACTGGGTTTGTATGTCTGTAGGATTCCAGGATAAAAGGTTTTGTCTTGGGAAGCTCGAGTGATCCCTGGTTGTCCAGGAAGGAGGGAGGCAGGGAGGGAAGGTGTTAGCGCACGTTTATCTTGCATGTTTCATAAGTACTTCATAAGCACTTTTGCATTAAGAGGATCCCAGGACAAAAGGCTTTATCCCAGAAGAAATATGATATCTGGCTTTAGTCTGGGAGGGACTGTATGTACAGATCTTCTTCCTTTCCTGCAACTTGGGTTTCTTTGAAGCAGCACTGTCCTATTCCCAGGATAAGGGCCTGTAGATGTGAGGCCCTTCTCTTTTATAAACATTTCTGCTCTCCCTTGTGCCCTGTGGAGATAACCTTTGAAATATATTGCAGCTTGGAGGGAGATCACTTTTCTGCAGCAGAGAATCCCTCTGGAAGGGGAATTCCTACAGTTACTTTTTTGAAATAGACCTTGATAAATGAGCTTGTTCCATACACTATAAGAACAGAACTTTTAAAAACTCACTATTTTGTCATGGTTCAGTGAACCATTGAAGCAACTTTATTTTGTAAATAAGACTCTCGGCTAACTGTCTGCACCAGTAAACTTAGTGCTGTCTTTTGGGGTTCTGTATTTCACTGGCAGTACAGTTCTGCCACAAATAATATTTCAATTGCAAGATCATAATTCTATGACTGTGTTGCCTGAAAGTACACCCTAAATTCACTTAATAAAATTGGAATTGTAGTTTGCTCAGTCAAATTATGGTGTAAAGTCCACATTAACCTATGGAAAGTGTTCCAAGCTTTGAATTTCTTTGTCCTAGAGCATCAATAAGATGCTGCAATTAAAACCATTCTTTCACTATTTAAAGACTACTTTTATTAAAATAGCTATTGATTGTTGTTACAAATTTTGTCTGTGGAAGTACATGCATATAGAAGGCCCTTTTTAATTTACATTGCCCTGTAGTGTAATATAAAGGTGCCATAGTGAAATTTGGGTCTATAGAACTGTGAATTCCAGATGTATATTGCAATGTACTGAAGTATATATTGGTACAGTATTTAGAGTGACATTTCCCTCTGTGCCAAAGTTTTCATAAGATGGAAGACAAAGCTTAATTTTTGCTAATTCATGTAATTCATTGCATTTGAGGAATATGTTTGTTCTGCTGTACAGCTTCTTTCCTCATTTGTCACTAATCAGTATTGCCTTCTATTTGGAATTTGGAGTGGCTCCAGTGTCACTACTGGATCCTTCAGCAGCAAACCCTGCCTGTCGGCTCAGGATGCTAGATTTTCTGCTTCTCACAGCAGAAGATTGGTGGTTCAGATTCTCTCAACCATTCTGACATACAATTTTTCCCCCCATTTTGGTGAATACTTCATTTCCAATTGTAGCTCTTCTGTCCATCTCCTGAGATAAGAAATTACCTTCCTCTAATGTGGTGGTTTCTGCAGCATAGTACCTCGGCAAGCATTAAGCTGAATCCAAGAGTGGTGTAGGCAGCTTTTCAGGAACCTCAGAGCAAGCTGTGATTTCTTGCCACCAACTGAGCTGGGGTATGGGCTGGAGAGGACAGTCTTCTCTCACAGATCAGTAGCCATGGGCATCCAATGGTACATACTTGAGAGGATGGCTCTGCTTTGTAGCTATAATCTGCTGACAATGTTCTTCTAGACCATGGACTTTGAGAGTCAAGCATGCTAGGCCCCTGACACTTGCCTTATGTCAAGACTCTACTAGGACAGGCTAAAAGAGGAACTCTGTGGAGAGGATTTCCATGGAGAGGAGAATCTTTTACAGCCTGTACAGCAGCAAATCTTAAATTTTTAACACTCCAGGTTGCCAGGAGGAAAAAGTAAGTGTTCCCATTATAAGGCAAAAATAAGCAAGCAATATAAAAAAACCCAAAACCTTGTGTTTAAATCCTTTTGCCTCTGCTAGTAGATCACTCAAGTTAATGGCCATTCATTCCAGGGACAAGCTGCACATGTAATGGCTATATTGTTGTTGAGTTTTGACTCTGAATAATCTGAATCGACTTGAATATGGTATCAGTTTTTATCCACAAATTTACAAGTAATTTTCTATTTATGGGAGCACCTGAGAAATTAGTAGCTGAAATAGCAGAGAAACCCCAACCCTCACTGTCAAAAACAGTATAGCGGTATATCAGCGTCTAGCAGAACATAGGTTGGACTTGATAGATTTCATAGACATTAGGGCCCTTGGACCTCAGAAGATCATAGAGTCCAGCCCCCTGGGGTAGCTAGGTGTAGCAGGGCACTAAGGTGCCTGCTACTGAAAAGCAGCAGTATGGGTTCAGGTGCTGGCTGCTAGGGGCAACCAGGAGGAGCTAAGGGCCCACACCTGGTGAGTCAGCTGACCAGAAGGGGCAGGGCTGACCACTAGAAGACCCAGACAGGAGGCTGTGGGTGCTCTCTCTCTCTCCCAACTGGCAGCCATACAGAAGGAACACTGTTTGACCAAGGAAAAGAGCTCGGCCCTGAAAGGGGAAAAGGGAAAGGCTTGGATGTACAAATCACTAGCTAGACAGGTGAGAGATGTTGCATGGTTTGGAAAACGCTTTAGCCAGGAGGTTTAGATTTGAGTTATAGCCGATTGGCTTACGTTATTGCTTTTGTTGTTGTCGTTACACCGGAGGACCGGGTGAGGCTATTAGGGGTTGGAGGAGGCCTCATAGGGGCTCCATGGTAGCATGGGGACCCCGGTGCCAGAGAGGGCACAACATTCAGGGGTGTATCGACCTCAGCCCCAGTGCGGGCAGGTGCAAGACGCCCCCAGAGCAAGGGGGGCAGCGAGACACCCCCAGAGCAAAGGGGGGCAGCGAGAAGCGCCAGTGCGAGGCGAGCCAGAGAGCACCCGTGGGGCGCAGGCTGCGAGGCGAGCCAGAGAGCGTCTGTGGGGACGCGGGCAGCTGCGAGGCGAGCCAGAGAGCGTCTGTGGGGACGCGGGCAGCTGCGAGGCGAGCCAGAGAGGGTCCGTGGGGGCGCAGAAAGGGATTGACCAAACAACGTCCGGTACATCTGCGAGGCTTGAGGCGTGGTACAGGGGTGGTTGGAGCCACACATAGCCCATAAGGCTGGGGTGCACCGGGTCACCCAAGACAGGATACAGACTGGGATACATCAGGGCACCGTGTCAGAGAGGACAAAAGGGCAGCTTCCCTTAAACATTATTACCATCAAAGACGTGGTGGGCAAGATGGTGAGGGTGCTTTGACACCAACTTGGCATGGTAGGGGGCGCTAGGGGAGTTCACGGCCACCCCTAGGACCCTGCACTGTTACACTAGGGTTAAAGGATCCCAGCAAGATAAACGTCCAAACTTTTCTTTAAAAAGTCCAGAGTAGGTGTTTGCAGCACCTCTGGAGGGAGTCTATACCAGGCCTTGAGGGCTCAAACAGTAAAGAAATTTTTCCTTACGTCCAGACTAAAACGGTCTTGGAGGAGTTTGTGACTGTTGGTCCTTGCCATCCCTTGGGGAGCCCTGGTGAATATGCATTCCCCCAGATCCTGATGCACACCCCTTATGTCCTTAGGCTGCTACCAGGTCACCCCCGAGCCTGAGCTTTTTTAGGCTGAAGAGTCCCCTGGCTCTCAGCTTCTCTTCATAAGGCCTGTTCTCTTGCCCTCTGATCATGCTGTGGCTCTCCTCTGGACTCTCTCAAGCTTCTCCACATCCATCTTGAATTGTGGAGCCCAGAATTGGATGCAGTACTCCAGCTGCAGCCTAACCAAGGCTGAGTACAACAAGAGACTTCCTTAAACAGGATTAAAAAATCTGAGGCTAAAGCTCCCAGTGAAACCCAGATACATTTTCTTTCCAAACCAACAAAATCATCGTCATGACAAGGACAAAATGAATATTTGTATCCTTTTCGCTAAGCCTGCGAACCCATAGTTCTGGGAAGTGGCTGGTAATAGTCAAAGCAAGGTTCAGAATGCAAGATATACATTTATTCCCATTTATGAACAACATACCAAGCAAACAACAGATTCTAGGAAAAAGAGCTTCCTTCATACTGGCTGGTTGCTGAAAAAGTCATATTTACCAGCCTTTCAGAATATACATCCTTAACATAAATACCCAGGGGCTAAAGCAAGCTTAGCATTGACCATAATAAGACTACTGCAGTAAAGATTCTGAAAGATCCAAAGCTTCATTTAATCAGTTATTTGCAGGCAGGCAGTAGTCATCAGTAGCTAGTTATCTCCACTTGACAGGTTTGTTGGTATCTTGCATCAGGCTCATCCTTGAGTGGTACTGCTGACTCGATTTTTGTTCTAGATGCTTGCTGCTCACCATAGAAGGAAGCTTCACAGGTTGGGAAGAATACTAGAAGACAAACTTAGTTAAAAGCTCAGAGTAAATAGATTTTTTACTCTCTTTGGCAATCCTGCTGGTAACATTTCTGAACAAAAACTTACAGATACCATTTCACAGGTTCAAAGATGTGGTCCATCAAGACCAGTGTCATGGCTAAGACAGTAACCAATACCAGTTATTTCAGAAGAAAATGCAGAAAGCCATGTAGTGGTCAGTTTTAGTGCTTACTGTAGAAATTCCTTCCATTCAGGGTTGGCTTATGGTTAAAAGGTAAGGGCTTATATCCCTTTCAAATAGACTGTAACCAGAGGTCAGGACTGCTCTGTGGCAGTTGAAATTTCGTCCTGTACAAAGAAGAATCTGCTGCTTTGAAGGAAGGGGAGGCCTAAAGTCCTCTGCTGGTCTAGAGAATGCATAGATTAGTGGTAGTCCAAAAGACCTTTGTTGCAACTGGAAAAAATACCAGAACTCTTGAAATAGGGATAGCTCCTTCATCTGGACCCAGAGGACCTACAGTTAACAGTCTAAGCATTGGAAGAGAAGTGTAGTTTAACAGGTTTTTTCTATGCAGCATCACTGCTTTTTTTTGGACAGAACTCAGGAAGGAAGTGGTATTTTATCTGGGACCCAAAACCCCCCTATGTTTTTATAAAGACAGTGCCTGGTGCAATGGAGCCCAAGCTCTGTGTGCTACTGCGATAAAAGCAATAACCAGCAAATTTTCATGATCTCAGCTATATTAGAGTTCCTCCAGGTTGGCTGATTAGAGTCCTAAACCAAACACCAGAGAAAATTGTGTTCTTTAGGCAGGCACATTAGATAAGTATTGTCAAGTGTCAAATTTAATCAGAATGACAGATTAGACAAGTCTGTGGGTGGCCTTTTAGTTGTCATTACCTCCCAAAGACAGGGTTTGGAATTATTTCCTTTGTATGCGTAAGAACTACACTGGTAAAGTGTTATAGCTCCAGAAACCTTTCTCTTCAAAGTAAGTTCTTGCCACAATTACTGGAAAATAGTTATCCCATCATTTTGTTACAGTTCTTAACATCCTTTTAGAAGGTTGTGACATTCATGGCCATTCCTAAAACCATAAGGTGATCTTAAATATATGACAGATGTTACAGATGCACTTCTGTCCCCTCTTGTGGTCTCTCCAACCTCACCTTCTCAGTAAGTCAAGATAGCGGAGGACATTATGTAATTCTTGCACTCTTAGATTGGTGCTTGGGCTACTGTATCCTTTGTATCCTTTAATACTCTGCAGGTCTGGTTTAGTTCATGCTTCTGCAGTTTTTCTCTTCAGAAGTATGTGACCTATTTCCCACTAGAGGCTTTTATAAAGCTTGTTTATTTTGCAGAAAGAACAAAATATTGAAAAAAAGCAGCTAATGTTTAACTTGCCTGATGTCTGACAATTCACTGCTGAAAAACTATTCAGCTCTCCTTGGTTCCTTTGTATCATTTTGATTCCTCTGAACAACTGATCTCCCTTTCGTGGGAGCACATGCCTTTAAACCCTGCCAGAGTTTTTATATTTCTGAGTCTGGCAGGTCTTGCTTGGAACCATAATTAGATTGTCTGGAAACAGAGGTAGACCCACCAGAACTAGCAGTTCTGGGATTGTCCCTTAAGTTCTCCTGAATACCAGCAGATGAATGGCTTTTTTGAGCAGTCTCCTACTCCCAGACCAACCCCCAGTAACATAAACCAGTATGTCCCAGGGAGACAGCCACTGGGGGATGGGGAACCCACCCCCCTGTGGTAGGACAAGGGATGAGGGTGACCCACCCCCGCAGAGAAAGCTCTGAAACCAGGGCAAACGTACCAATTTCAGGCCGGGAGGCGCAGGATGAGCTGTGCCGGGAAGAGCTGCCTGTGCAGTTTATAAGTTGGACTTACTTGCCAGTGGGGCAGGCTTGGGTGACTGACATCACTGGGGAACACCGCCCAGCCAGGATAAAAGCCGACACCAGCAGAGGTGAGGCGAGAGTGGGGGAAATGACCGGCAAGGGAAATGCTCTCCACGCTGAGCGGAGGCAGCGCCGGCTTACAGCTGAAGAGCTGGCAGAAAGAGAAGAGAGGTCCTCAGCAGGAGGGAGGACCCGGAGCGATGTCGAGGGACAGCATGAGCCCAAGGCACAAGGGCTGTGAGGGGAGAGAGGCAGCTAGCCTATTCCCTCAGGTTCTTTTTTTTCGGTGTTCCTTTTTTTTTTTTGGCATTCCCTTTGGATTTTCCTTTCTTCTTTTTTTCTCTTGCTGTTGCCAGGGTACGGGCATCGCTCCAAGAGGCAGGAGCTGCCTTAGACCCACAGCAGGTGGCCAGCTGGCCACAGGAAAACACCAAGAGGCCACGGCAAATCACCTGTTCTGGTAGCACAGATAACGTGCAGAGCTATGACTGGCACAATCAGAGGGTATACCACACGGAAACTATTTACCTCATCCTGGAGGCTGGCATATGGAAGGGGTGTAGGGAAGGCAGAACCCCATGGATACCTGTGACCCTCCTGGGAGAGTCCTCAGAAGGGGAACCCACCACTGAAGATTTGATCAAAGTCATGGCAGGAGAGTTTCTAGGCTTTCCCTGGGGTGATTGAGGACACCTCCAGAGGTCGTATGTCCTCACGCCATGCCGAATACCGGGCGTGTGCTAAGGCGGCTCGCAAATGCATCCTCGAGGCCAGGCGGGCACACAGTACATTATTAAAAACCCCCACATCTCAGTAACCAGGCCAGTGTACATAAATGCATACAAAGCAGCTCCAAATCAGTCACAGAATATATGTATCATGTGTATGCTCTTTTCCCCCCATCTCATTCACTATAAAATGCTTGGGGTTTAGTGCTTTGTAACCCTTCAAGCAAGATGGTTTGGTGTCAGTCTGTGTGGTAGGCATCTGGAAAATTAGAGAAGTATAAAGGCTCCATGTGCAAGGTATCAGTGGCCCTATGAAGAGTTTTGTATGAGGAATATTTGTAAGATATGTTCGTGTTCCTCTACTGTCTGCAGAATAGGAAAGTATTGCTGGTTTGTTACCAAGTAATTTATTTACATAACAAAGTTCTTGCTTTAATGATTTAGCAGTTCTATTTCTGTCCACTGTTGTGCTTTGATAATGTAACTACTTTCTTATACATCCCTATTTCAGGTTTGTTACACTGGCAGGGCATTGGCATTGCCCTCCTTGTTTGTTTTTGACTTATGTATTTTGGGGTATAATTGGTGTTTTAAGTATTGTTGGGTGTAGTTAGTTATACATGAGGATTTCAGGGGTTGATTTTGGGTGTTCTTTGAGTTAATGGTTGTTGGCTCAGGAGGCTGTTTCCAGGCCTACTTTAGTAATGGACATGAGGAAAGAAATTGTGTGGTAGAACTAGAAATTTTTTACCTAATAATTTTCTTCCTGTCGTTGGTTTGTGTCCTTATTTAGCACATGCTGGTGGTCTGGTAAGTTTAATAACAAATTGAATCATTTATGAAAAGATGTGTTAACCTGAAGACTACTTACAGAATATCCAGTTATTTTCCTAATAACTTAATGACCTGAAGAAAAATGCATTGCATTTGAAAGCTAAAGTCTATCTCAGCCATATACTTTGTCCAATAAAATATATCATCCACAAACATCCTTGCTTCTCATATATTTCTCTAACCCTAATATGTGGTTCTGGAGTATTTCTGTTGCTTTGGAAGTACTTCACTGGTGGCTGGAGTTGAAGTACATAGGGCTTTGTCCTGGGGCCTCCAACAACAGAACTGAGATGTCTTCAAATTCCTTAGACAGAAAAGATTGAGGGGAGAAGCTGTCAACAGAAAATTGACAGGCGAGAGATCCCTCATTCCTTCTGCTAGTTTGCAAGTACATTTTGTATGCCAATTTCTAGTAAAGTTAACAAGCAAAGTTTTGGGGGCTAATATATTTATTGGACCGGTGATGAATGGGCAAGTAAAGCAACAAGACTTGAGCACTGCCTAGGGTGAGTGGGGTTGGTGGGGAAAAGTGCTGGAATGAAACAGGGGGACACCTCCTCCCATTCCACCCCATCCAACCCATGCCTCACCTTCCTTACAGTGGCTCCAGCCTCTGCTCCAGGAGCAGGGAGAGCAGAGAAGTAGTGGTGCTGTATGGTTGTAGGAGTACAGGATGTCACTTCTATTTTTTGCTGCTAAAAATTGGTGGGTTTTTTGGTTACTTGACATGCATGTTGGTGGTAGAAGAAGGTGACATCTCCCCCAATAGCAGCAAGCTCCTGGCCTAGGGTACAATACTAGCCAGCTATGCTTCTAGTTGGGAGAGATGTTAGAAAAACTTTTGGGCACAAAGAGTCTTTCCTCATTTTATGCCACAGATCTTTTCTAACAACTCCTCCAACTACATGGTGGGTCCAATAAAAAACTTTATCCAAAACACCTTGCTTCTCGCACATTCTCTAGACCATCACAGCTAGAACGCTTCATTAGTAAATGTAATACTCTTATTAGTAAAGTTAATATATTCTTATGAATATTAATATACAGTCTGCTGTTCAGAAAAGTATTCCTATATACCTTTTGTTTCAATAACATAGAATGTGATTTTATCATTTATTAACGGATCATTTTTAGAGAGACTTCTGTGGGAAGTAAGCAAGAGACCAATGTCAACAAAGTTTTCTGGACTGTTCAAGGTTTGTGCCTCTACCATATTTCCATTTAATTTTAATGTTATGTTACTGTCTTTGTAAGTAATCTAAAGGTTGTAGTGAGGTTTTAAAAATTACGTTTTTAGGAAATAAAAAGATAAAAGCAGGATGTGCAATTCTGTAAGTAAGTACTAGTATTTGACATTAGAGCAAACAATCATCAACATATGTATATTGCATGGTGCTTTAAATACGTTTTCTCTGTTAATTTTCAGTGTTTAACAAAAGATGATGTGATGAGCATAGATTAATTATAAATGTAATCTATAAGATGTTGCTGTCAATAATAACACATGAAAGAACTGTTTTATCCTGTCTCCTCTAAGTAATTACATGGAATTTTACTGTGACACCCAAAAGCTTCTCTAAGTCTATCCCAACCATGCAGTTGGTCTAATAAAAGATATCATCCACAAGAATTCTTGCCTCATTGAATTTTAATATATTTTCCCATGCTCTCCTGCATATAGAATATTTTCTTAGTACTGTATTTGATAATGTATTAAATATTGTGCTTGCTAAAATATGTATAATAGTTTTTGCTGGTGTATATGCATGCCTGTTTGTTGGTGTTTACTGGAAGATTTTAATTCATCTATCAATTCCAGCATATTGACTTTTGGAAAGAGACATGCATGCTTTGTATTCATAATGTGGAAAGACCTTTTTAATATTGCTCCAATATCTTGGTAACGTGTCAACAAAATTTATGTTCGACAGACTAGATACTATTTGGCAGGATATTCAGGACTTACTAAATGGCTCTCAGCAAATGCTCTGGCATTCAGTAAAAACTGCTTTAAGATTGTGTTCTAGAAAAATCAGGGTGGAGGAATGATGTGTGGATGCCATTTGTGGTGATATGCCATATTTCTTTCAAATGTTCTTCTGGCATGACATGTAAATCAGCTTCCCACCTATCTTTTTATATTTGCTATCAGCAAAGATGGCCTAGGACCTAGAACCAAGCCAGTTGTACATACCTGCAAGTTATCTGTTATTACTGACTTGATATCAAGATCCTGTAATACAAACATTTGTTGTTTTTCCCCTCTTAATGTATAATGGCAAATGTATAACAGATGTCAGTAATTTGCAGAAATTGCTATGATAGGAGCAGATGACTCTCTAATGGAATATGAAAGAATTTGATTTACCAGCATAAAGTAAGCCTGTAATTTAGGGCTCTGATTATTTGATCATTGTTTACCCACATAAGTAATCCTACCAAAGGCAGTGGAATGTGTCTTGTTATTCACATTCCTCACCTGTATAATTGTTCATGGGTTTGCGGTCCTATGTTTATCCTTGTACCCATATGTTTTTAATATTTATTTGCATAAAGAAAGGTTAAATCTGAGCTAGTGAGAGCCTGGAGTCATTGTAATAACCCTATTACAATTACTTCTTGAATAAAAGGATTCTACACGATGCTAGCAGATGCACAGTTCCACTGGATAGAGTTGCTCAATCACTTTTGGTGTTGAATCTCAATGGTATCCAGTCATTCCTAGTAGAAGTGAACTGTTTTACAACTGCCTAGTTAGTACTACAGAGAAATATGAGTCCTGTTCCTTCTTTAAGATCTTGTTACGCTTTTGTGAGTAAAACCTGGCCACTTCCTAAAATAATATCTGTACTCAAATGTTAAATGAAATAACTGATCATGGGCATATCTACATGTGCATTGATATGCTGTAGTTATTGCACATTAAGTTTAGTACCTGTAATAACAGGTACTAACTGAATGCGCAGTAACTGGTGTTAGTGATGCTAATGCACAGTAGGCTAATTATTCTGCATATTAACACAATAGCGTAGCTGTTGCTGTGACATGCTAATGTGTAGTAAAATTTAGTCTACTGCAGATTTAGCATCTTGTGTAGATGCACCCATTGTATCATTATTCTGCTAGCATTTTGGCTTCACTGAAGTTGGATGCATGATTGCATTACATAACTAACAGCATGGTAAGGGGTAGTTTTGGAAAAAATCATTTTCCACTTCAAGTAAATATGGTTAAAAGTATTTCTCTGGATCCTCAGGTATTCTCAGAAACAAATTAAGTAAAAGAGGAGTTCGTATTGTAACAGGATTAGGAAAGTACTTCAGACAGCTGGACAAGAAAGGAAATGGAGTCCTTTCTAAGGCGGATTTTAAACAAGCTTTAAAAATATTTCATTTAGAAGTGTCTGAACAGGTAAGTGGAACTGGAACTGAAGCCATGAGTGTGATCCCAGTCTGATTGTCTTATAAAAGTTTGAGTTGCTGCTTTCCTCTAGTTAAAATGGCAATTTTAAAACTTCAGTGGTATTTGGTACTTCTGCTTTTAGACTGACATTTTAAAACCTCGCTTTCAGTCCCTCTCTATGCATCATTAAGTAGTACAAAGAGGCACAAGACTATTTTTTTTCTTTTGTGGATACCTTTAAAAACATTTTTAAAAGTCCTTTAACTATATTTTAGTGTCTAATAATGATAATATGCCTTCCTAGTAAATAATACACATGAGATGCAGCTAGTTACCTTCTACAGATTTCTGGCACTTTGGCACATATTGCTTCATATGGGCTTTTCCAATAGGTCTTATGTAGAAGTTGAAAAAATACGAGGAACAAAACTGTATTTCCCAAAAATCTGCAGCTGGGAGAATGTCTGTCCATAATGACTATTTGAATTAGGTCTGAGATGAAAGGACTCTAAGATATTTCAAAAAGGCTCTTTTCAACCTTGACGCTTCAGAGGCAAACTAGGAATCATGGTAGTCCAGAAGGAGTGTGGAATTACTTTCTTGGTCTAGAAAGAGATGTAGTACTAAGACATGACCTGAAACATAACTGAGAAAGATCTGAAGTTTTACTGGCTGATAGGTAGTGTTGAACAATATTTTTTAGAAAAAAGAAGTTAAACTAGTTAACTGACTGTTGGTTTGTGATTGCCCTAGCTTTGAATAATAATTTCTCTATTGAAACCTGGATTATCCCATATCTCTTAGATTGGTCCTGTAAATTTCCTTAATCAAAATTGTTAACAATCTCTGTTGGTGAGTATTCCACAAATTCTACTCTCTCTATGATCCAGGAAGGATAAAGGTCCGTCATACATCGTGGCTCTGATTGCCATTACTGCTCCTAGGATGGTTACTTCCATTACTGATCTGAATTCTTGGAAAGGACTTTTGTTTCCAAGGCCACTCTTGTCTCGGTCTTGGTGGCTGTTGAGGTCAACCTGAAAAATGATCTTTGTAAAATAACAGAAATTCTTCAGCAAGGTGCACTTGACTCTGGTACTATGTAAAGACAGAGTCTGGGTTCGCATAGTCTAAAACACTTGTGGTGCATATCTCTGCTGCATTTATGGAAAAAGGGAAGTGAGATTTCTTTTCCGCTAAATGGCAGAACAGAGGTTTTTTGGTAAGTTATGGATTCTTGGGGTCTCAATTATTTTTGGAAATTTCAGAGGGCGTGTCCCCTGAGGTACATTTGAAAGACAGAATGAAGCCCTCAGTGATAACTGTACCTACCAGTCATCTGCCTGTTAGGAAATCAGTTTGTGGTGATTCAGTCTCTTTCCATAATTACATGCCTGTAAAGCATTTATCATAAAATGCATATTGTTTGACCAATAAATAGTAGTCTTTGATCCTACTTAATAGGGTGGAGGTGCCCGATGATATACATTCATGTAGGTCTTGTAAAAGGTAACGTTGACAAGTCACTCTTGAATTTCAGGACTTTGAGTCTTTGTGGTTTATTCTTGATGACAACAGAAACGATGAAGTTGATTATGGGGAGTTCACCCATGCGCTCTTTGGGGAAATGAATGAGTATCGAAAAGCATTCGTCAGAAAAGTAAGTCTGTGTAATTTTTCTAGATAGAAGTTTACCTGCACAGAAGAAAATGAAATTCTCAAATCTTATTTTTGATCAATACCATAATAAAGTTTAAGAATTTCAGAATATTATGTTGATTTGTAAAAACTAACATACATTTTGATTAAAAGGCTGCATCTCTCTCCCTTGTGCTGAATTATCTAGTTTTGACTTCTGCAACTGGCAAAAAAACATTTCTGTTGCTTAGCATGCCCCTCTTCATTAGCTATTTTCTTGGTACAATCTAGTGGATAAGACATTGGGCTAGCATTTAGAAAACTTGAATTCAGTTATTGAAGCTTCCATAAGCGTATTGGTAAATCTGAGAAAAGTTTCTATGGCTGTGTGCCTCAGTTTCCCCCATATGTAAAATGGGGAATTAATATTGATCTTTGTTAACACACTTTGCAGTCCATAGCTATTAAGCACTGAGAACAAGGTGTCACTGTTCTTTCTTTATTTAAGATACTGTTTTATAAAATGTTGTATGTAGGGAAACTGTGTGGTCAAAGGGATTGGTAATAGAATGTGGAATCTTTCACTTAAAACACTTTTTACAGTCCAGTTTGCACTGTAGCTACTGAAAATTGTTACCGTCGTTACAGAAAATACAGAAAAAACAATGCCCTTGTGCTTTCTCTCCTAGAGGACCTCCTGTCAGTCCTACATTGAAAGAGAGATAGTACTACTACAGTTACCAGTGTCAAAGCAATAAAGTTGTGAGGGTTTAAGCTGAGTTCTCTTTCTGCCTTGGATGATCAGTTGTCAGTTAAGAAATGATTACCAGCTTTTTTACTGTAGTTACAAGAGGACGAGAAAATGCAGGGTGATTTTAAATTCTCTAGGTTGAGCTTGCAGTGCTGGCAGGGAAAAAAGATTGTTTTGGCTTGTGAAGTGATTTAAATTTAATATGGAAGTCACTGAGACAGAAATAAGTATGGAGCTCCATGATGTCTAAAGTCAGTTTTCTGAGTACAACTACTCACATAAAACATGTAAGTACTTCAGTCCAAGTGCAGTCTGTTCTGTTGAGCATAAAAATGTCTGATGCAATTAAGTGTATTCATGTAATACATTTCTATTAATTTCTCATTCTGCCTATTTTTCTTTTTTATCTTTGTTTTAGGCATATATGAAACTAGATTTCAACAAGACTGGCAGTGTGCCTTTGGTAGATATTAGAAAATGTTATTGCGCCAAGAAACATCCTCGAGTATTGTCAGGTAATCCATATAAAAGACATGCATCTTAATTATCTAGCTTATTTTACCTGTTAGCAGAGAAAGAAGAGTACCTGTGAATTATTGTTATAATTTTGGGCTGTGTTTTATATTGACTTCAACTTGGGCCTGATGATAAGAATTTTGTCCGCTATCTCCCGCTAACATATTTTTCTGATTGGAACTGGCCCTAAATGCTTAGGGAACTCCCTCGTCACAATTTCTACTGTGTGATTTTTATTTTATTTCACATTATTTTTTTGTGGACAAAGTGTCTCTCACTTTTTTCCAACTAAGAGTTAATGTTGCACTTTAAAAAAAAATCTATTCTCATTTCTTTCTTGTTTTCTAGTGAACTATCTCAGGCCTGCAGAAAGTGTTAATTATGTCCAATGAATAAACTGTCTTCTAAATAAACAATTAGTATTGCTCTGGGATATGGATTCTTGATAATGCATTACAGATAGAGATATTTATGTTGTTTGTAACCCCATGTTGTTTCTTTTAAGCCACCTAAAACAATACTATTATGTAGTTTAAATTTGCAACTGAAGAAAGCCTAGACTGCAGAAGAAACTGAATTTCCAGAATACACATCCATGTGAGAAATTAATATTGGACTGCTTTTATCAGTCATATATCTTAATTCTTTGAAACAATTTCGTAGGTTATGAGAACAGTATAGGCAATCTACATCCAGAATTTATTGGAATAAAACACTCTAACCCTCCCGCAAATCATTGTGATTTTTTTTTCATTTAACCAGGTTATTGCTAAAAAGCTTTAACCCTGAAGCATTCCCATATGAGCTTGTTTCTGTTGCCCACTGTCATCCTGATCAGATGGAATCATTCAGTATTTGTTTATGGAAGAGACAGGAAATTTTTCAAGGGATTGCTTTAGGACTCAAGTGTCTCAAACCTAAATAGAAAAGAATTAAGATTTATGAAACAGCATTTCAGCATTTGATGGACAGAGGAATATTTGAACTTGTTACTAAAAAAAATAGTCCACCTAGTCTAAGTTATTTTGTTTTGCTGAGACTTGGATAATTGTGTGACATTGCAGAACAGGAGTTTGTCAACAGTGGACTGCTTAATTGATCAGTAAGATGCTTAATTTCATATATAAGTTCAGTTTTTCTCCATTGTTTATTTTCATAGATTTCATAGACATTAGGGCTGGAAGGGACCTCAGAAGATCGAGTCCAGCCCCCTGCCCGAAGGGCAGGAAGTCAGCTGGGGTCATAGGATCCCAGCAAGATAAGCATCCAATTTGCTCTTGAAGGTGTTCAGTGTAGGTACTTGAACCATCTCTGATGGCAGGCTGTTCCAGACCCTGGG